GCATGCGTATGATTATGACCGTAATCACAATCACACGTGTGATTTTGATTATAATCATAGTCATAATCACGGAAATCACCGTAATCACACGCTTTCGTATGATTATAATCATAATCATACGTGTGATTACGTGTGAATTCGTATGATTACGGTAAAATCATAATCATAATCACGGCGAAAATTTGCCCCACACTGATGCACAGAGCCCGAAAGAATTTGGATAGCAAAATAGCGGAACCGTCGCGCTCTCAGTGAAGTGGGAGTACTCCTATTCGGTCAAACGGCTTCGGTCAAGTGGATTCGGCCATGTGGCTTCGGTCAAGTGGATTCGGCCATGTGGCTTCGGTCAAGTGGCTTCGGTCATATGGATTCGGTCAAGTGGCTTCGGTCATATGAATTCGGTCAACAGGGAAGTCACCTCACTGACGGCCACTTCCCCTTAAATAAGTGGTCCACGAACTCCTCCGAGCTCGGAGATTTCATCCGTCGAACGTCACCAGTCGAGAATCCTTCCATCACAACCGGCCAGGCCGTCTGTAAAATGCTCGGCGTCCCATGGAACCAGATCTCAGACGGCCTATCGGCCCCGACAGCGAAGGCCGTCAACGAGCTCTCATCGGGCACACCCTCAGAAAGAAAATTGCTTGCAGAGCCTTAGCTCAAATATTCGACCCATTGGGAATTATCAGCCCAATCGTCATTAACTCGAAAATTATTTTCCAAGACCTATGGAAGGAAAAAATCGGATGGGACGAGCCCCCTCAGGGAAATTTCATCGAAAAATACGACGCTTTCTCCTAATTGCTCAGCCAGGCTGGCCGATTGGAGATACCACGCTTGCTCGTCGCCTCAGAAGAGGTCTCTAGCAGGAGAGAACTGTTCATCTTCTCGGACGCCAGCTTACAAGCTTACGGTGTGGTAGCATAAATCAGAGAACATGGCGCACAACAGACACCCACGATATCATTCGTCTTGGCGAAGTCGAAAGTCGCTCCGATCAAGGCAACGACTATACACCGACTGGAGCTTCTGGGAGCACTCTTGGCCGCCAGAATGACAAATAAGATCTCCGAGTGGATTGATCTCAGGATCGACGCCATACACATGTTTTGCGACAACTCATCGGTTCTCGGATGGCTTGCCTCCAATCCATAGCGATGGAAACCCTTCGTAGCAAATAGGATCAGGAAGATCCATGAGCTGGTAGGCGAGGCAAAATGGCATTATGTCCGCTCGGCCGAAAATCCGGCGGACATTCTTTCTAGGGGCGCCGATGTCTCTAAAACTCCAACTTCTGAAGTGTGGTTTCACGGGCCACAGTGGCTACGGCTTAACGACGCCGACTTGAGAACGAAATTGAAACACGAGCTCTCATTCCTCGACAGTCGACCGGAAATCCAACACGAGCAAAAGAAAAGCGTAACCTCTTTTCTCGTCGCACATTCGGGGAATACCATCGAAAAAACGAAAATATTTTTCGAGGACAGTTTCTCCTGTTGGCTCAAGGCGATTCGTTTTTGGGCTTTCATGCTGCGTCTCAAAACAAAAGCCCAATCGGCGAAATCGAGGATACAGATGAAAAGTCGTTGCACGGCCAGGCCGAAGACACAACTGGATTTGATCGGCCCGGATGAGATGATTAGGGCCAGGCTGGAGTTATTCAAATTCATTCAGAAATCGTATTTCCCGAAAGAAGTGGATTCCGCGTGCGCTGAGGTCAAACCCAAAAATCCCCTCTCACAATACAGCCCTTTCATAAATGAGGAGGGACTACTGTGTTCGAGATCACGCTTACAACGCTCAACCGAATTCTCAGAAGCACAAAAAACCCAATTATACTACCCGCCGATTGCAACCTTTCCAAACTCATCATTCGATACATCCACGAGAGAAACTGTTTCCATTTCGGGGGAGTCGCAGCAGTACTCCACATCCTAAGGGAAGAGTTCCTAATTATACATGCGAGAAAGCTTACGAGACAAGTAATCTCCACATGTGCAACTTGCAAACTCTTCAACTGCCAGGCAGTCTCCCTCGCCACCGCCCAATTACCAGCCTTTCGATTGGAGACAACGCCGCCCTTCTTCTATACAGGGTGCGACTTCATGGGACCCATCAAATACAAGATGGACAACGGAGAAAAGGCTGAGGGATACAGCCTTCTAATGACTTGCGGCGTGACCCGAGCTGTGAACCTGCAGCTGACAACCGACACGTCCACAGTGGAGGCCCTGGGGGCGTTGCAGAAATTTGTCAACCGCTACCCATCCGTCAATACAATCACTTCAGACAACGTTCTCTCGTTTCAGAGAGCAGCGAAGGAGCTGAAGGTGCTGTACGGTCGTATTGTAATGCTGATGTATTTCAATCAACACACAGGTTTTGGTAGGAGCTACTCGTGTACTTTATTCTCGGAGCGAAGCGTCGGGGCGTAGGGAGAACCGCCGTGCTGTAGCGCGCGAGTAGAAGTGTTCTCTCCGGCACATGCTCGTCTTCTTCTAGAGGTCTGCTGCCCTCTCCCCCGCGCGAGAAGCGCGCGGGTTTTCGGAAACAGAGTCGGGGCTATCCGTCAGATCTCTAATTGGAAACAGCGGTTGCGATCCTATAGCCAATTTGGTAGGGTCCTACGTAACGAGAATAAATCCCCCGGACATTTCCGGTTCTCTGTGTGGGAACCTCGGGGTCTCTCTTCCTAGTAATCCTCCAGCTAGCAACAATGTTTCTTCCAGATCAAAGTCTAAAGCCGGTCTCACATAACCCCCCCCTCAGGGTCGAACCGTCTCGGTTCGCTATTACCTAAGTTAGGAGTCGATGAGCCGAGTCGGTGGTTTCCTACTTCTTTCCGGGTTTCGTCGGGTCGGTGTGCTGCTGGTTGTCGCCCCGGTGTAAGCTGGTTTCCGGATTGACTCCTTCGGCTTCTTGGTGTGTTCTCCTGTTTGTTGGGTCGGTGAATCACGTTGTTGTGTTGGATCGTTCGGTGTTTCGGCGGAATCTTGCAGCGGGGGGAACTCTCGAACGAACTTCAGTCGGGACGAATGAACCACCTGCTTTTTGGATCTGGGTCCAGGGAGGGTCGCTCCCTGTTCCGCTTCCACTTCGAAGGTCTCTGGCCCCTTCTTCTGCGTTATTTTGTATGGTCCAAAAAATTGTTTCTGCAATTTATCTGATTGACCGACCTGTCTGAGGGAGTAGTGCAGCCACACGCTGTCTCCTTCCTCGAATGGTGTTGGGGTCCTCCGTTGGTCGAAGTTCAGTTTGTTCACGTCCTTTCC